AGCAGCAGCAGTAGCAGGATGTCTCTTTCCACCAAACTCACGCTGGACCGGGTGGACGTGAAGGGCAAGCGGGTGATTATGAGGTGAGCAGGGCTCGAACCTGCGTTCCAGCGGCCCTGGTTTAGCTTTGCACTAAGCCTGGCTCCCGGGACTTGGCTCTGGAGCCCTGCGGCCTCCACGTGTTGGGCCGCGCTGGGACTTCCCCGTCCGGGCCTCGTGGTTGCACAGCCTCCCTCGTCTTTGTGGCTTGATGCGCTGTTCTCAGAGCCCTGTCCGGCAGGCAGGCCCCCCTGCGCTTGGGGTGCAGTGGGTGCATTTGCAGGCCCCCTGCATTGTGGGTGCATTTGCAGGCCCCCTGCATTTGGGGTGCAGTGGGTGCATTCGCAGGCTCCCCTGCATTATGAATGCATTTGCAGGCCCCCTGCACTTGGGGTGCAGTGGGTGCATTTGCAGGCCCCCTGCACTTGGGGTGCAGTGGGCTCCTTTCCTTCCAGGAGGCCGTGACTGAGGCGCGTTTGACTTCCAGCCCTGGCAGGGGTTTCATGGGGAAAGGTGGCACGGGCCAGAGCTGCATTCTGGTCTGGGGGCATTTCGGGCCCTTGCAGGATTTGCCAAGGGACCTGAGATTTGTAGGGCAATAAATGTATTGGATGAATGGAGACAAAACCAAGCTGCCCTTTCCTTGATTAGATGGGTTGTACAAAGCAACAGAAAATTCACTGCTTCTGCGGGCCGTCTTGGGAGAGCCGCGCTGATTCATAGGTGCTCTGCAACTTACAGCATCAAGCTGTTTGATAGAAAATGTCCGTTATTCCTTGTCGGTGTTAAGCCTGATGTGGGAATGGCGAGTCTCTGACCAATACTATAAGCTGTTTTTGGCGTGTTACAACAGTGGGACACATTTTTATGGGCATGGCTCTAAATTTTTCTTCCAGGTACAAGGACTTTTTCCCCAAGGTCATCTGAGTGTAACAAGAGTTGAGCACTAAATTGGTTATTTGAGTAGCAGGCATAGGGCAGTGGTGACTTCCTCTGGGCCTCCTCACTCTCACACACTTATTGTTCCAGTGAAATTGTCTAAATATTTTTATTTTCAAGTCATTCATTAGAATTTTGACTGCCTCGCTGTGCAGGCCTGATAATAAAACCCTTATGATCAGACCTCAGGAGTGCATCTCCCAAACATTGCAGAAAAGCCTTTTCTCTTATTTCCTTAAGTACTTGCCACTTGACCAATTTTCCCTCTTTTCATACATATTGTTGAGAACAGTTTTGCATTAGTAGAGGACAGCATGCTTGGCTAGCTTCATTAGATTTCAGTTTGTGGTCTTTATTTTTAAATAACATGCCTGCCTTATTTCGAAAATACACTGTTGTTGTTAATTTTTTTTAATGTAGCCTTAGGTGTAGGACAGATACTAAATATGACCATAAATAATGCAAAACAGTAGCTGAGATATTGTTGCACTGAGATATTGCTGAGATATTGTGGTACAGTCATCCACCCTGGCAATCTGCAGAAAGCATCTTGATGCCCATCTTGCTGGGGTCATCTGATCCCAGCAGTCTTTCCAAGTGCAGGGGCGCTGGACCCGATGATCTGTAAAGTCCCACCCAGCCCCTAACATCTATAAAACTATGAATAGAAGTGACTTGTCCTCTGAAAATGGCATTCAGCAATTTATTTCCTTCTCTCCTATTCATCCTAATAACTTTTCATGCACCTGTGTATACCTTGCTGACCTTCCAGGCCTGCTGCCAAGCAGAGGAGGCCCAAGCAAAACTGTGGCTTATCGAAGGTCACTGTTAGACTTAAATTTATTCAGTTTAAAGGAGCTCTCACATTTCATTGGCTTTTTACGCTCAGGTCTGCACTGGGAGGCATGGGTGGATCAGGTACTTCATACAGTGATAATGACTTGGCAAAGCAAACTTTTAATTTGCCCCTGGTGCCATAACAATGACATCATCATGGTACATTTTCTTTTTTTAGAATTAATCCACTCTGCCAGGGGCTGCCAGTTCAATTCTTTCTGCTCAGCTTCTCCTATTCTGCTGGAAGCTTTTGAGGCTCTGTCCACATGCCCCTTTACTGAGCAGTCTCTGGAAAAAAATTCAACCTGCATTTTGTATTTGGGGGTGGGTGGAGGGGGTCTTCATTGTGATGCATAAACTCCAGGGTAAATTTCCATTTTTTTTCATTCTAATACTTGGACATAGTCAGTAAGAATGACTGGTTTTCCCCAAATGAATTTTTTTTTCATTAGTCATCTTACTCGTCGCAGCTAGACTTTCCTGTCTGAACTACTCAGAGAAGGGGCTGGTCTCATTACAGTCTAACGTTCCCTCTTGTCTTGGCATCCCATGAGTAAGTTCTGCCTTCAGCTATTACACAACACTACTTCCTGTTGCCTCAGTTTATGGACCCAAGGTATGCTAGGCAGAAATGGCTTATGAAATGCTCCCTTTTATCTTCTGGCATGCAGTAAAGTGCCAATATGCTGTTGGGGAAATTACCCACAAGCTGTGTGTAAGATCTGACTTGAGTGCAAGAAAGCTGCAGTAGCTAACTAGAGAGAGATAATAACTTCTGCTTGTTAAAAGCTTTTTGAATGCACAGCATAGCAGTAGGCCCAGCAAATAACAGGTCCTTGCTTTGACTGACATGTGACAGAACAGCATGAACTCCTACAATGCATTTGGGGGAAAAATTGGACTTGAAGTCGGTAACCTGGAATATTTTGTGGAATCTATCGTATTTCCCACAATTGTCTACCTTCAGCATAGCCACTGGTGATGCTGACTTTCAGTTCCTTTGGCAAACTTGTCTGTCTTCACATCAGCTTACTGCCAGAGCAGGAGTGTAAATTGAGTGCAGAAGTAGGGGAAGTGGTGATATTTCAAGCCCTGCCCAACTGGTTTACCAAAATGAGATGCTGCTCATGGTAGACTGTTCAGAGGATCTGTACAATGTCATTTGTCCTTTGTGTGTGATGAATAATGAAACAATAAATGGGAACATCTTTTGGGACTACTTGGGCTGACTGCAGAGCCTAGCTGAGATATGAGGAAAAAGGAAATTTCTGTTTGTCATTGAAAAATGGAATTTGGGGTTGGTTATCAAAAGGTGCCCAACTCCCATTTGAAGTCATTGGGCACCTAACTGCCCTTTTTATATTTGGATAGCTTCATCTCCCTCCCTCCCTATTGCTTTGACATAAAAGGTGTCAAGTATAATTGGTTTCATGATAGGCTTGTTCATAAAAGCGGAAGTGAATACTTTGAACTGACTGGATTGCCTTTCTAGTCAGCCCTATGATCAGCAAGGGCCCCAGGTCTTCCTAAAAGAAATTAGTCATGTTCATTTAAATACTAATAATTATTTTTACTCATCTTTTAGGGTTGATTTCAATGTTCCAATGAAGGACAACAAAATAACCAACAACCAAAGGTAAGGCACCACTTTAGGTTCTACGTTGAAGTCTTGAACCCCTGTCCCTGTAATGGCCCATGTTTTATCTATGTGGTTCACTCTGAACAATGGTGGAAGCATCCTCCTGGTTACCCATGGTGTCCTTGATTCCCTGGGAGAGGGCTAATTGATACATTGTGGCTACTGCAAATACTTTATACTAACTTTCTGTTAAAACCAGCTGTAGCAAATACCTGCCTCCCCCCATTGCCTTCAGTGTTTTGAAAATGGTTACTCTGTGGTTATAGAACTGAACTGTTCAACATGTTAGCTTGGCAGACCCTTGCAGGCCAGGAAATGCTGGTTAAGGACATTAAGAAAAAAAAAAAAAGCTTGTCTGGTTCATCCTTTTACCTACTCATCTCCAGGCAGGTGCTAACCTTGTCTACATTAAGCCTGCCATTTCTGCTATTATTTCAGCCTTAGCAACAGCATTACTGTTAAAATCCTAGTGTCCCCAGTCATTTTTAACTCCATTTTACTATACGTATTTTACTGTAATAGAAGATAGCAAAAGGGGAACAATTGAAAAATATGTAAGAAAAGTACAGGCATCGGCGCACTAGTTTGCGTTGGTAGTTGGCTTCTTGCAGCTAGTTGTGTGGCTGCATTCTGTAGTCCTGAAGCTCCTGTCTATAATGGCCATCACTGTCACTGGGAGTGGAGAGGCTTGGATTACTTCCTCATGCAAGGCTCTTCCTTTTAGGTTTGTCAGTGTTCATACCAAACATTTTAACCTATATCTGTTTCAGAGTTACTGCTTGTCCTGTTTGGTGTAGTATTGTTGGCAGTGCTTTCTGTTACAAGGGATTCAAATAAATAAAAAGAGCAGAATGTTTCCTATCTTGTCCTCATTTTTGTGAGAGATGACACCCAGTGGATATGCCTGTAAAAATCGCATTCAGCTTTATGGCCACCTAGCTCATTTGCCCCGTATCACCTCAAGCTGTTTCTTTCTAACTTATCTTTTCCGACCTTCCTTGCTCTTACAGAATCAAGGCAGCTGTCCCTAGCATCAAGCACTGCTTGGATCATGGAGCCAAGTCTGTGGTTTTGATGAGTCATTTGGGCCGGCCTGATGGAGTCCCTATGCCTGAAAAGTTTTCCTTAGCCCCAGTGGCTGTGGAACTTAAATCACTAATGGGCAGGTATGGTATAATAGCTGTGCAGCGTGGATGGACTTTTGAAAAGTTAAGATGTCGGTGAGATTAAATCTTGATTTATGACTCCAGGGAGATCTTGTTCCTGAAAGACTGTGTGGGTCCAGAAGTGGAGAAGGCTTGTGCTGATCCTCCAGCTGGCTCCATCATCCTCCTGGAAAACCTCCGATTCCATGTAGAAGAAGAAGGGAAAGGGAAGGATGCGTCGGGAAACAAGGTTTGGCATTTCCATTTGAAATCCATCGTGCATTTCTTTCCTTGATCCAGTTTGGCAGACAAGCATGACAGTGAGCTACCTGTGACATTTTGTGCAGTATGTTAAGAAAGATGTTAACATAGCAGATAGCACTTGCTCTGTCTTTGTCAAAGAAACTAAGAAACCACCCAGAACAGTGTCTGGGACTCTGCTTGTTAGGAGAATATCATAGAGATGCAAAAAGGCACAGCGTTCTGGACTTGACACACATTATGGTGATTAGCATTGGCCATTGTTCTAGGTTAGTAGTAAGGTTTTCTTTGCTTACTTTTGGGATTGAGATTAAGTTGTAAAGTAGCTTGTCTGAAATGCTGAGGTATTGCTTTTTAAACATCAGGAAGTTTGAGTATATCTGATTGGGGCAGAAAATTAGGCTGAAAACTCCCATAGAGCACATGTTGATCATATTCAAATGCTACAAAAATACAGATTGACCATGTGCCAGGAAGGTGCTGCTTATGCTAAGGACACGGGTGAGCATGCAGTAGCTGGTATTCCTATAAAATGAAGGGAAGAGTGGAAAGGAAGGATGACAGAGGTCCTGGGGAAACTGCTGGTCGCTGCAGGAGGGGTTTCTTTCCCTTTGTGGTGTAAAAGGGAGAAAATGGCTTGGAAGGAGATATTTCCTTGCCCCTTTTTGATCCCAAGTCTTATATCTGAATTTTAATGGGATGTTTAAATACTAAACTGTACTGGGGCTCTGAAAAGCCTTGATTTAAGGCTACTTCCTCTTCAGGCAGTCGCATAGCATCTGCACTGCCTTGTACCTCTGACATTTTCTTGAAGGTCAGGAAGAGCATTTGCTCTAGACAGTTTCTTTTCTTAGTGTAGGTGACCCCGTTAGCTACACAGGGTTTGGCTCCCAGCAGATACAGTTCATAATGCAGATTTGCTGACCTAGCATGGTGCCCTTAACAGACTTACACAGAAGATTGTATAGATTGGAGTGCAATTAAGGCCTCTGTAGGCGGAAAGGCTGGAGTTACTTGCCATCACCTAACTTCTGGGAGTCAATTCCCCTTTACCTGTTTTGACTTACTGAACATAGTTCTGGTCCCTTGTGGAAATGCCCTACACCAGAGGTGTTCAAACTTCTGGCCCCACAGACCAGATGAGTGGCACAAGGTCAGTTCATGGGGTCTACTGCCCACTGTCCTGAACCATCTGTCCACCATCCCTATCTAGTGCGCAAGACCATGTTATCTAGCTTGCAGAGCTTCCCGTGGGTCCAAAAATTTGCCAGCAGGATAGTGGCAATTAATGCTGCCACTGCTCCCCTGTCACCAATTTCTGAGGGAGACCCACAGGTTGGATGATACGGCACTGTGGGCTGGGTCTGACCTGTGGGCTGAGTACCTTGTCCTACACTGTCTACCGTTCCAGTTTTTCCCACTGTAGCATATCAGCCAGGACATACACAGGCAGCATGACAGCAAAGACAGTTGTAGGCCTGGCTCTTGTCAAAATAATACATGCTGCAGAAATACTAATGTTACTAACATGATCTTTTGGGGCTAGTGGCAGTTCAGTAGCAGACGATTGTCTAGACTTTCTAAGGAAATTGTTCTATAGCAGCTCCTTCATTCAGATTTAGCTCTTTTCTACTTCCAGCAGTTACTAATTCTAGCAGAAACAACTATATAAAGCTGCCTGACTAAGGAGCAGTTTAGAACAATGATTCTCAATGAGGGTAATGTGAGATCCTTTCATAGTAGGTAGGGTCGGAAGGGACCTGAGCAGATCATCAAGTCCGACCCCCTGCCATGGGCAGGAAAGAGTACTGGGGTCAAACGACCCCGGCACAGTTTGTGACCGTTATTTCTAGTCACTCCTGGTAGTGCTCAGGGGAATAGGGACTTCCCCTGCTGGTCCCCCCTGACCAGTTTGTAAACGGCCAATAGATTTTCCCCCCCCCAGCCTTCTCGTGTGGAGGCTGAACAGGTTCAGGTCCCGTAGCCTCTCCTCGTAGGGCCTGCCCTGCTGCCCCCTGATCATGCAAGTGGCCCTCCTCTGGACCCTCTCAATGCTGTCCACATCTCTCCTGAAGTGCGGCGCCCAGAACTGGATGCAGTACTCCAACTGCGGCCTGACCAGTGTTGCATAGAGGGGGAGGATCACCTCCTTGGGCCTGCTTGAGATGCATCTGTGGATGCTTGACAAGGTGTGGTTGGCCTTCCTGACTGCGTCCCCACACTGTCGGCCCATGTTCATTTTGGCATCAATAATGACTCCAAGATCTTTTTCTGCCTCTGCACTGACAAGAAGGGAGTTCCCCAGCCTGTAGGTATGCTGCTGGGTCTTCCTCCCCAGGTGCAGCACCTTGCACTTGTCAGCGTTGAAATCCATCCTGTTCTCATCTGCCCACCCCTGTAACATGTCTAGGTCCAATTGCAGCCTATTCCTCCCTTCTGGTGTGCCCACTTCCCCCCACATCTTAGTGTCGTCTGCAAATTTGAACAGGGTGCTTTTTACCCCCTCATCCAAGTCACTGATGAAGATGTTGAACAGTGTGATGCACAACAGTTTCAAGGGTGATGCACAATGTTAGCACTGTTAGTTGTGCAAACATAATTCACATGATAAACCAGAAGTTTCAAATAGGAATCCCTAGTGTTGAAAACATTCTTGCCTGTTGTGGTCTTTGAGTTCTTTGCAATGGAAGAATTTTTCAGGTATTTTTTTTTTTTTCTCTTTCTACATTTAATTCTCAGTTTTCACTCATTTTCTAGCATTTTCTGAGGGGTGCCTTGAGTCTAAAAGGTTGACTGCCACCGCTTTAAAATCTCCCTACTTCTTTAGCTTTCCTTTCTTCCCAGATCATGCAAGCAAAAACAGCAAAGAGACTTGGCTGTACATTTCCGCTATATTTTGTGTAGTGCCTTTCCTCAGAATAGCTCAGAAATACTTTATACAGGTGGGTAGCAAGCTCTTGAAGTGGAGGATTATACTGACCGCTGAATGAGAGGCTGCTGCATCCTGGATTGTTTCTATACAAAACGCACGATTAAGAACCAGGTCACAGAAGGCCATTACTGGCTGGGACCAGCTCTGCTATGTTTTCATTGTTGTAGGAGGGGAGATAAACCACTAGAAGACCATGCTGTATGGGTCCCCAGGAAACAGTGTGGGAAGAGACTCACTTAAGACAGATATATCTGGTGCCTGCTGCACACTTAGGAATGCTGAAGATAAGTTCACTTGGCTGGGGTCGCCAATTGCCTGAAGTACAGTACAGGCTATTTTTAAATTAACCTTCTACACTAGGGGCCAGCAGCCTTTTGCTAGCAGCAAGTTGAAGCTGGAGACCTGGCTGCTGCCTCAGCCATCCCTGCTCTGTACAGAGGGCTCCTCTCTTATGTCCCCCACTGCAGCCTCCTACTTACTATTGCTGCTGAATTGGCCAGTCCAAGTTTGTCACTTGCCATGTTTTCAACAGCATATTTTTTGACAGAGGCTGCTTAAAGGGGGGGGGGAAGAAAACAGCACCCGCACAGAGCAGGGAATATGCAGCTGCCATCAGGAAAATTCAGATCACAGGCCAAATCAGACAGCTGGGTAACAGTAGAAGTTTGGTGTGCCGTTAATTGAATGCAGCCCAGATCAAATCTGTTTGCAGATCTTTTCTTAAGAAAGACCCAAAAGTGAAAAGAGGATGTTGAAGATGAAAGGTGCTGGGCATTGACAGTATGGGGAGGGGAGATTTGCACAGTACCTATTTGATTATGCTTGAAATGAGCCAGTGTTGGTGGATGTCGTGGTCACTAAATTTGATATAAATCCCTTGCTGCCAGTGATAAGAAGTCTTGACCAGAGGCTTCAAACAGCAGTGTCTTAGGGCCTGGGTTGTGAAGAATCTCAGATATTCTCTTCATTCAGTAATTCCATTTTTTAAATTGAAAGTGAGTCATGCAAGTCTGATTTGCAGTTCATAGTGGCAGAATTAGAGAATCGTATTGTAGCTAAATAGCATCAGCTTGCATGTCCTGTATCCCTCAGATCAAGGCTGATTCAGCAAAGGTGGAGGCTTTCAGAGCATCACTTTCTAAACTGGGAGATGTTTACATCAACGATGCTTTTGGAACTGCACACCGAGCTCACAGGTATGTAACTACTTAGCCTCTCTAGGCAGACTTACGTAATTCCTTGTTTTCTGGGTTCACTCCATACTCATCCAAATTAGCTTAGTCCTGGTCTTTTTATGCTGGCAGACTATCCTCAAAAAGCCCTGTACAGGATTCTCACAATGAGGACTGATGAGTTCTTCATTAAAATTGACCAGTTTAAAGTCTGTGTACTGTGTAAGTCCCACCCTTCAGAAGTTAATGCAAACTGTCAGAGATTGAAGCCTTCTGGACCGTGAATTTGTCTTGTGTATCAAACAGTTGCACACCAACTATTTGAACATAGTCTGTAGAGCACTAAGCATAGCGGTAAGATGTGCGACTTAGGGGGGGAAAAAAGTATCCTGAATAAGCATGGGGATAGTGCCTCATGAATGCAGATATGCCACTTCCAGTTTTGGGAGGAAGTGTGTTTGGAGTAGCAGGGTATGTATGTGTTTGCCATTGCTTTGCACACTAAGCGTGTGGTTTAGTCATGCCATGAGTTTCCATACCATCTCTTGATGCTGCTGCTGTTGTTGCAGCTACACAAAGAGTTAACTTCCCACTGCTGGGAGCATGAAAGGCCCTCTGGCTTTAGGAACGTGAGGAATTCTGTTGTTTGGATATAACTGATACAGAACTCTTTTCTTCTCTGCCTATTCCATAGCTCCATGGTTGGTGTCAATCTGTCGCAGAAAGCTGCTGGCTTCCTGATGAAGAAAGAGCTGGATTATTTTGCTAAGGCTCTGGAGAGTCCAGAGAGGCCCTTCCTGGCAATTCTTGGAGGGTAAGAGCCAAGAATATATATGTGTTTTAAGTTTTTTTGATATGCTGTTAACTCCATTGTCAGAATGAATGAGAGGTTTGTCCAGGTTGACATGGACAAGAACACTTTTGTCCACAGTTTCTTAGTTAGGAGGGGAGGAATCCTGAGCTCCCTGTAATCCATACTTCACAAAGGAGCTGACTAACTTTATCCACCACAGTGAAGTTGGCTAGTCCTGTTCAAACTCTCTGCTAACTCTTCAGCTGCCTCTGCCTGAGTTAGTCCACAGCACTGAGTTCTGCCAGTGATCCAGAAGAGCTCTTGGATATAAGAGATGGCCCTGACACAGACTGCCAGTGCCCTTTCCACTGGAGTTCATAGTACAAGCATAGTGCAAGCTCAGCATGTCTCTGTAAGTTGACACTGTCTGTCCTTATGTAACTGTGACCTACTGTAGTTGGATGCACTTCAGCTCTTTATGGGCAGTTAATGAACAAAGCCACATCCAGGGGACATGCATACCTATTGAGTAACTCCTGTGTGCTGGAGTAAGCCTCTTTTCAAATGTGCTTGGGTTCTTTTACCTTTGAATAGTGAATTTAGGCGCATTGCAGACAGCTAGCCAAGTACAGGAATGTTCAGATATGGCAATCAGAACAGTGTTTGCTCCTTTTGGAGTTGGACTAGTAATGGTGATGGCAATAATAATACCTGGTGCTTTTTATCTATTCATGTTCTACAAGGGAAATCAATATCACTGTCATTATAGAGATGAGGAAACAGGCACAGAGCAATGAGGGGTTTTGTCTGAAGTCATCCAGCAGACCAGTAGCAAAGTAGAGAACAGAATGCAGCTGTCCCTGAATCCTAGCTAAATGCTCCATCGAGTAGCCCACTGTTTCAAAGAGCAGCTGCACTCTTGTCTAATATCCCTAATGTAGACAAGCCTACCGTTAAGAGAGCAGGTCTGCAGAGTTTGATATTCAAGAGCAGAAACTGAGAGACTTATGTTCATGTGTTTCTGTGCTCTGAAATTCCAGTGTAAGGGTACCTTAGGCACTGCCAGACCACTGTCCATCTCTATCCTGTTTCTCAAACAGGCTCTGCTGCTTTTGGGGAGGGTGATTCTGCATAGTCTCTGACCCTAGAGCAGATCCAGCAGTTAGGAGGAGGCTTTTTCTCCTCTGCTGACTTAATGAACTACTGATCCTGAGCTAATTACAAGAGTTAGGCATCAAGGGGCAGCATGATCCAATGGACTGGGGTTGGGGTCTCTGTTCTAATCTTAGCTCTGCTATGGTTTTGTTG